CGCTTCCGCTGCTTCCGGTCATGCGTATGTGGGAAAAAGCAGCGGAGCTTTTATTTTGCCACAGTCGACCGCTTCCGCTGCTTCCGCTGCTTCTGGTCGTGCGTATGTGGGGAAAAAAGCAGCACTGTTTTATCATACTAGATACTTTTGAAAGTTCTGTTATAATGCTACTCTGTGCACTCGTCACCGGTCTATTAAAACGCACAACATATTAAAGCATCTTTGGTGTTTCCATGTTTTCTACAAAACAAAACCGAGGGGTTATGACGTCATTGGCAGGTGACACTATGGACACGGTCCGTGTCACTAGTTAAAATTGCTTTTTTTCTCTGGATTTAAACGTTCTTCGAAACATTTGGGATAATGCAAGTACACGAGTCAGCAAAATATATAACACCATTCTAGTGGTTTTTGGATATTTTAATTAAAAAATCTTACATATTGTGCCTTTTAAATAAAATTTAAAAAAATTGGTCCGTGTTTTTGGCCCTTAAAAACTATTCCGGCTGAAACTGAAAATTGCTGTTTTGGTTGCTGAACTTTTGGTGCATCACAAAATTAAGCAAATGACTTTGCTTTAAGCTCTTTTTTTGGTTTATTCTCAAAATAATTCTGTCATGGTGAGCTCGATATGTGTTCAGCTTTGTGAAGTTGTTTTTGTTCTCAGGCTGATATTTGGTCTCTCGGGATCACTGCCATTGAGCTGGCCAAGGGCGAGCCCCCGAACTCAGACATGCACCCCATGAGAGTGCTCTTCCACATCCCCAAGAACACACCACCCACCCTCAACGGAGACTTCTCCAAGACTTTCAGAGAGTTTGTGGACTCCTGTCTCAACAAAGACCCTACATTTGTAAGCACAGTTCAAGCATGGCTTTCTCATGTAGGAATACTGCACTTACACTAGGGTTGTCACTAAAGTTTCAATATATAGGGACAAAAATGCCCCTGTATGAACTTACAGTTATGCAGCATCACACAAGCAAGAGTACTGTTTTTCCAGAATATTGTCAATATTGTGTTTTTGCTCTGTCGCCAATGAAAATGATTCCAAATGAAGACACAACATGTTTTGTTCCTGAATGTATAATTTCATATTTTAAAAAAAAAGTTATTTATGCAATTGTAATTATGTACATCTAAATACTGCTTTAGATGCAGATTCTGTGCTAAAAATGGGTTTTGTTGATACTGATTTCATTCGATTAATAACAGCTTATAGTGTCTTACTATTCTGAATGAAATTGATTAAATGTAAGAATTTGCCATATATCAGGATGTATACTTTAAATGGGGAAAGACAGAATGCTTTTATTTAAGTAAAATGGCCATGGAAATCTTTTTAAGTGTGCATTAAGGTATAATATATGCCAGTGCCACATCTGAGCTTCACATGACAGTATTTAGTACTGTGCCGTTTTGAGAAGTATTTTGATTATACGACTGGTGCACCGTTAAACTGTGCAGCGCTAACTTGTGCTGATGTGTTTGTAAAGTGATAAAGGTAATAAAATGTCATATCTACTTTTCTCAGAGGCCAACAGCAAAGGAACTCCTGAAGCACAAATTCATCGTTAAATACGCCAAGAAGACATCCTACCTCTCCGAGCTCATTGACCGGCTGAAGCGCTGGAAAGCCGAGGGTCACAGCGATGGAGAATCGAGTTCTGACTCCGACTCGTAAGCATGCAGCGAGCACACAGATGCATTCGTAAAATCCCTAAATCAGGGGTTCTCAACTCTGGCCCTCGAGAGCCACTGTTTAGCTCCAACTCTAATCAAACACACCTGCCCGTAGCTTTCTAGTGATCCTGAAGACCTCGATGAGCTTGTTCAGGTGTGTTTGATTGGGGTTGCAGCTAAACTCTCCAGAAAGTGGACCTCGAAGGCAAGAGTTGAGAACCTCTGCCCTAAATACTCCCTAAAATATCAGTGAATAGCAGATTTAAAACAACAGTCCACAAGAGGGCGCAATGAACTCATCTAAGCCAAACAGCACCATGTTTTGTTGTTTATTGTAAAAAAACATAAAAAATCTGGCTGTTAACAAAAATGCAGTTTGTTTTCAATTAGAGTGCATAAAGTTATGAAATCAAAAGATTCAGCCTTTATTCTCAAGATCTAGTTCTAGTCGTTTTAAACAGTTTTTTTTTAATTCAGAGGATGTCTTTCAGTGGAAATACAATTTTCATGACACTATTTGTCAGTTTTGCTCTCATTAAAATGCCATCCACTATTAGTTTTGACAAGAAAGTGAAAAATTAAATCATATATTCAAACATTTTATATTTTAAACGTCAACTTTTCATAAAATGTGAAAACTCCATTTTGTGCAAGTATGTGATATTGTTTATATTTATATTGTACAAGCAATGTTGTTCTGCTCATGCAGCTCAATACTTCGTACCTTCACGGTTTTGTTCAATAATATATTTTTTTGTAAATTTTGGGGGTATATTATGATACTATGCAATATGTATAACATTTTTATTAGCTATTTTTTTCTGTTTTTTTTTTTTTTTTGTACTTTAACATTCAAATAATGCTCATGATTTTTGTGCATTCACATAGCTAATATGACAAAAGTCACCAAGTGTCATCTCATTCCAATAAAGCGAAAAAATTTAAAAAAGTTTGGTCAAAAGTGACTGAAGAGGCCCTTAGGGTTTTTCTCATTCTTTCTCATGTGACAAATGACACATACACAGCGAGTTGAACATCTCGGTGGATTCTTCTTGTGTGCCCAACAGAGAGCCCAGCAGCAAGGACAGCGACTCGTCTCCTGAGTGGTCCTTCACCACCGTCCGGAAGAAGAAGCCGGAAAAGAAGCAGCCCAATGGAATGGTGAGTTCTGCATGATGATTTGGATATTCAATGTTGAAATTTAGTAACTGATTATTGAGAACATGTTGTGTTTTTGATCTCTTCCCTTCAGGACGAAGAACTGCAGAAGAAGTCAGGCAGTTTAACCACCGTCATGGCTCCTGTTTTTTCAGAGGTAGGGCAGCTTGTCTTCTCATATGTGACCCTGAAGCACAAAAGCAGTCATTAGTAGCACAGCTATATTTGTAGCAATAGCCAACAATACATTGTATGGGTCAAAATGATCCATTTTTCTTTTATGCCAAAAATCATTAGCATATTAAGTAAAGATCTTGTTCCATTAAGATATTTTGTAAATTTCCTACCAGAAATATTTCAAAACTTAATTTTTGATAAGTAGTATGCATTGCTAAAAACTTAATTTGAACAACTTTAAAGGCAAAAGTCTTCTCATATGTGACCCTGAAGCACAAAAGCAGTCATTAGTAGCACAGCTATATTTGTAGCAATAGCCAACAATACATTGTATGGGTCAAAATGATCCATTTTTCTTTTATGCCAAAAATCATTAGTATATTAAGTAAAGATCTTGTTCCATTAAGATATTTTGTAAATTTCCTACCAGAAATATTTCAAAACTTAATTTTTGATAAGTAGTATGCATTGCTAAAAACTTCATTTGAACAACTTTAAAGGCAATTTTCTAAATATTTAGAATTTTTTTTTTTTTTTTGGCGCTCTCAGATTCCAGATTTTCAAATAGTTGTATCTCAGCCAAATATTGTCCTATTATTTATTCAGCTTATTTATTCAGCATTATTCAGATGATGTATAAATCTCAAATTCAAAAAATTGACCCTTATGACTGGTTTTGTGGTCCAGGGTCACAGATGGTCCTGTTTGGGGAATAGAGCTAAACTGAAATTAAAAAGCTATTCAGAATCATCATGTGACCTGAAATCAGTCTAGCTGTGTAGTTGCGAAAACAAAAGTGGGATTGTTGACTGTATAACAGAACATGAGTTGATGTGGCCTTTGTGTTGTAGCTAAAATCGCAGCACAGTGACGATGACAAGACGAGAGTTCTGGAGCAGCTGGAGAAGAGCCTGCATGTGGCTGAAGACATCTGTCCTGGTGTCACAGACCGGATGATCAGCCACATCCTGGAGAGGGTGCAGAGGTCAGACACACTACTGACATGTTTCTGACAGCGGGCAACCGTTTACAGCCTAGTGTTTGTGTACTATTTTGTAGCAGTAAACATTAGAAGTAGCGGTTGACTGATATATCATCAAGACCGTTATTACTGACCAATATTTGGGATTTTTTTTATTGTTCTGCAAGACCCCCCTTCATGTTTAGTATATCTTATTGCACTATTTTGCTTTTAATGCACGTAGATTGATATTTTATTTACCAAGATCTCTTAAAGGAATAGTTCACCAAAATATGAAGAATTGCTGCAAATGTTTCTTCATGAGATTTGGAGAAATGTAGCATTGCAGTGTCACCAGTGGATCCTATCAGCAGTGAATGGGTGCCGTCAGAATGAGAGTCCAAACAGCTGATAAAAACATTGCAGTAATCCACACTAGAAGAGAAAAACTGCGTTTTTGTAAGGAACACATCCATCAGTTTCAAGTTTGAACTTGAAACCATTGCTTCCAGCTTAATATGAGTCAATGATCCATAATGATGCTTCCTCCAGTGAAAAAAGTAATTTAGGTCTGAATCAGGAGTGAAATCTGCACAGATCAAGCACCATTTACAAGCCAAAACAGCTCTAAACAAATACGTGGCTGGATTTTGATGTGAGAGACAACTTTTCCACTGGAGGAAGAGTTATCCAAACTGGACTCATATTTTGGCCAGAAGTGATGGTTTGAAGTTTATACACCTTAATGATGGATTTGTTTCTTACAAACACAGCTTTTGGCTTCACAAGACATTAACTGGTGGACTGGAGTGGTGTGAATTACTTGTGGATTATTGTGATGTTTGGACTCTCATTCTGACGGCACCCATTCACTGCAGAGCATCCACTGGTGAGCAAGTGATGCAATGCTACATTTCTCCAAATCGGTGCCCTGTTTCAGGTGTGTGAGCTCAAATCTGGCCAGTAGCGTTGCCTACATGACCCATGAGCAATGCTGATGATTTCAGTTTATCAGTCATCCATGATCAGATGTTTCTCCTCATCTTTCCTCTGTAGGTTCTCTATGAGTTAGTGCTGCGTTGAGAAACGCCGCCCTTCTGCTGTCAGCCCTGATGACTGCACCTTAACACACTCACACATGTACAGAGACAGGAGGGACGCGGGGTCGCACACACACTATCTTATCATAACCAAAAGGAATTCTTTTTTTTTTTTTGTCCCAAAGAATGGAAATATATATAAATATAGTGTGTGTTCAACTGTATTTATACAATTTTGCCACATGCTTTTATATTAGTCTTCTGCTGGTGCCCAAGGATGTGTGTTACTGTTATTTTATTCCACATTTTACTTTAAAAGACACAAAATATATTTACCAGTCGAGTAGATCTGCTCTACAGCTCATTAGGCAAATCTTTTGGATAGCATATATTTATGTATTTGATGTCCCAATCCATGACTTTATTTTAAACTATGATCAATAATATATACGTTTGGGAGATAAACAGTTTATTTTCGTTCATCTTGGTTTGGGATTTCTTTTGTTTCTCTCGACACACTGTTAACTGTAGCATTACAGAACTGCTGTATGGGATTACATGCATATCATATCAGTCAAAATGAATAGAAATACCTCATTTAAGCAATCAAAAAAAAAAATAGACCGCTCCTGGTTAATGAAGATTGATCAAATTGAAACTGCTAGGAAAATGAGAGGAATTTTGCTGTGCAAAATCTACCTCCACTTCTGGCCCATTACAATAGAGAATTTCAGTTTTATTCTTTTCTCTTTTGTAGTTTGACGTTTTTTTTAATTGGCAAGATAATTCGTCTTAAATCTCTAGACCTTTTTGTACACAGGACTGTAGTGAAATACTTTGCCCTTTATTTCTCAGTAACGCCCTCTTTTTACAGTGTCTTGGTTTTTTTTTTTTTTTTTTGCGCTAATATTTTTATACAAGGGTAGAATTATACTGTATTTTTGAAGGAAATATGCACTTGCGCACACTTTGTATGGGGTGGGCCTGTTTTGTGTTTTAATTTCAGAGCTCTCTTGCTCCAAAGACATTCCACTTACTCTGCGTAGCCTGCTTCTGTAAGCGATGGGGGGGGTTTCTACACAAACATGCATTTAAGCTCCCGAAATGACAGCAAGTGATTCGAGTCCACGCTAGGCAGCAGTATAGAATTCAAGCTTGCTTTCATGTAATCTCCTGTGATGAGGGATTTTTTATTTTGTTTGCCACGCTTGTAAAGAAACAGGAGGGTGCCATTGCTGGTGTGGTGGTCATATGTCATATTTGCTCCTGTTGGCTTGGAGAGACTGTGCCAACGTTGCATCCCATTGTGCCTAAAACGCCTTTTTTTTAATGTATATGATGTTATTGTCTTCTCCAACAGCTTTAAAACGAAGTTTCACACATGTTGTTGTTGTTGCCAGACTGCTGGAAGATTTTAGAGCAATAAAGGTGTTTAGTGGATTTGTATATTTCTTTATAGAAAAGTAGATGCAGAAGCTATAGGTTTTGTACATTTCTTCACCAGAGCTTTTGTAAATTTAAGACGCCAGACGGAAATCTTTCTAGGTTGTATCATATAGATGCTGTTCTCTTCATTTTTGGACTTTAACTGTTACAGATACGTTTTTTGTTTGGTGTGGCAAATAAAGATTTAAATTATGACATTTCAGTGTGACTGTTTTGTTTGTGTTTGCTTGATAAAGGTCCAGACTTATTGCATGTTTCAGGGGCTGTTCATACAGATCACGTCTAAAACACATGAAGAAGTGCTCGGGAATGTTTTTTAATGCCTCCTCTCAGAATGTTTTCTCTCGGGAATTAGTTCTTCTCACAATCATCATTACATTATATGTTTTGATCATCCAACTAAGCATTAAATATCATCTTACGATGGCAATTTATTGGAGATGACTATTAATATTTATATCATTTTATGTAAGTATCTGCTATAATGTCAGAGAGATCTCATTGACTGACATTACAAGCAACCAGAATTTCCTCACTTTTAAAATGAAATATAAATATCAGCATCTGCACCAAATTGCATATTTTTTGCCCAGTTCGAGTGAATAAAGCTCTCCATATTCTCAGTATAATAGCCTGATATTTGAGCCGTAAAAGTGTGATACTCAACAAAAACTCATATGCAAACTCCATATTTAGTTTTTTTCTGATGCAGGGTTATAATATAATGCAGCTGGCTACTGAATGACTTAACAGTTCTGTTCCTACAAACTAACCCTGCTGTTAAAATAATAGAAAGACCACATACCCCTCATATTTTATTCTAATATTCGCATCTAAAAGCGAATTACAATTACCACACCATGACTCTACCCCTTAAAGACACATTTTAGCATTCTCATAACTGAAGTTTCATTAGTTTCTGTATATTCTAACCCTAAAGAAAAGTCAACATGATGTAATGAATTATTATAATTACTATAAAAGAACCCGTATGTGCGACCCACTAACACAGTTCAGTACGTGGGCGACGAGGGTGTGGGCGGGGTCAACCAATCGTGATGTCACAAACGTGGGCGGTGCCAGCAGCGTGTGCTCAAATAAGTGGGCGGAGTCAAGCGGGTTCAAAAACAGATTGTGGGTAACAGTGGACGCTTTGTACGACTTTTCTCTTCTTACGTTCTCCAAAGCTGACTCTAATTCGACTTTCCGTGCGCCCCTGTATGTATGTGTCTTGCTTTACACCTGTTAGTGTTGTATTGAGCTTCTGTCGTTGTTAAGTGCAGCGTTTTAAGATCTGTTTCGTTGTTGTGTAAAGCAGTGCGCTCTTTTTTTCCAGACATGGGGGAATGAGTTTTTTTGCACATTTATGCAGTGGACGCTTATGACAGAAGCCGTGTTACTTTTTTCAAAGGTAATCTTCATGCCCAAAAGTTTCCATGCATTTGTCTACTAGTTGATGCATATCGCTCGTGCGCGTTTAGTCGCACAAATGATGTTTTCTGCTTCCTGATAGACTTGTCGATAAAGTTAAAATGTCGTGCATTTGTTCATTTTTGTAAATACCAACACGTTTTATTAAAATGTAGACGTTGATTGTAAATGCTGTGCTGTAGGCCTGATGTTGGGACCGTTTTGCATTGCATGCACCCCAAAATCAAGATCTCAGACTAGAGGAAATGCACTAAAAGGTTACTAAAATCTGGTAAATTCAAACCTCACGAGGACTGATCACACCTTGATTGGTACACTGCAGAAAAACTGCACTTTCCCAGCATGCAAGGGTCACTTGGCATAAAAGCATCTGCTTAATCACTAAACTGTATTTCTCTTTGTCAGGCATTGCTTCCAGTGGGAGAAGACTAGTTTCCAAACCAGCCATGAAACCTCCTGGCGAGGAAGAGAGCCTGCGGCTGGGCACACTTCTGCTCAACACCCTGGCAAGAGAACGCCGTCTTTGGAGAGCACCAGTCCTTAAGAACGGTTGCATTCAGGTGGAAGCATATTTGTCATTTGCAGGCTACCGTAACCAGCAAGACCATTAAAAGCATGCATTTGCCATGTTTTGTGTGCTTTCAGGGTTCAGATATCAGCCCACATCAGTACCACGAGGTGATCGTGTGGTTGCGTGAAATGAGCAGCATTCTCCACTTTTCCTCCGAGACGTTCGCTTTAGGAGTCTGTGTTCTTAACAGCCTGCTTGCAACAGTCAAAGTAAGCGAAACCGTGACACATTTCCTCCCATCACTAGAAAAGCTGAATGGCGTAGACTCCAAGTCTTCTTTCTTTGCAGACTCGGCTGAAATACCTCAAATGCATGGCCATCACCTCTCTGATCCTTGCTGCAAAGATCAACGAGGAAGATGAGGCGAGATGTGTTTTTTTCTTTTTCTCCTTGTTATAGCACAATGACAGACTCCCCACACAACGTTCGAACCATTCCAGCACGTTTATTGTTCTGTTGTGTTGGTGAACAGGTGATCGCATCGGTTAAAGACCTGCTGGAGCAAAGCAGATGCAAGTTCTCAACGGCTGAGATTCTTCGCATGGAGCGAGTCATATTGAACAAGCTGCACTGGGACCTTTACATGGCCACGCCGATGGACTTCATTCATATTGTGAGTCATCAGAAATCATACAACCCTTTTAATGTGCCTGTTGCAAACATTAGCAAAAACTGACATTTGGTCCTTGACGTTGACAATCAATCCTTTCTTTTTGAACCTTGCCTTCTACACCGAGGCATTGTCATGTTAGAACAGAAAAGGCTCCTGTTCAAACTGTTGCTATAAAATTAGAAGCGCACAATTCCCCAGAATATCATTATATGCTTAAACATTATGATTTGTACTCATGGAA